TAATCCATAATAACACTTCCTCCAGTGAAAAAGTGCATCTCCTGTTGTCTCTCACGTGTGTTTAGAGCTGTTTAAACGCTGCTTGATCTGTGCAGATTTCTCTCCTGATTCACACCAGAACACTTTTTCACTGGAGGAAGCGTTATTATGGATTATGGAATATTTCTATTACTTATATTACAATTAGTGTAGTATTTAAGGTAAAAATAGAGGGTTTTAAATTCCAAAGCAAAGAGGCAAATTAGAGTCATTTTGTGGTTGGAAAAAAAATCATTTTTATTTGATTTATTTTATTTGTAAAGCCATGGTTTACGCACTAGATACCTGTATGGCTCTTTAATAAATATACATGTATCTGTTCGTCGAGTTTCTCAAAAGAGTATTGCAGGTCATTCCTGCTCTACAGATTCAGAACTACAAATTCAGATTCGGTTAGAATTCTGCATGTTTAATCATCATCATCATCTCTGTGATGGGAAACATGACTGGAAAAGCCAGGAAACAGTTCTTTCGTGTCATCTAAAAGTGTCTTTCCGGACGCTCTGCCAGGAAAGTCCATTAAATCCAGTGACGCCGAGAGCATCTGGAGATCAGCGCTCTTCTGAAAGTGTTTAGATTCCCTCTGATGGTCTGATGTCAGTGTGACTGATGGATTTGAGACTCTGTTGAATGATGAAGGCCAGTATTTGAGCTTCTGATGTCAGAATCTGATGATTGTGAGCTAAACAGTGACAGTTTATAAAACGGATAGTTCCGGTGCTTGATTCTGATTGGCTGAGCCGCGTTCGAAGCTGTTGTAAATGACTCTACAAAGTAACATACACCTTTGTTTACGTTTGTCATCGTACCTAACAACGCCCCTTAGCTGTTATAAATTCACTGTAAACCACGGCTTCTTATGGCTTATTGCTTTAGTTTACACCGTCTGCGTCTGTCTGAACTCTTTCCAGCAGTGTCTAACCAAACCTGTGAACCCACACAAAACTAAAACTTGCAGCGATGCCATAGAAGAACCATTTCGAACCGTTCGGCGATCAGTACCTTTATTTTCACGAGTGTATGGCATGTTTTTGAGATGTTGAGTGAGTCAGAGTAAAGCATGCTGTGATCCGTAACCCTCTCTCTCTCTCTGTGTGTCTGCAGGTGTTCTCTGTGGTTCCGCGGCGCTTTCTGCCGGACGTTAAGAACCCCTGCTGGTTCGAGGAGCTGCGTGGAGACGTGAGTGTGGATCCGTACGGATCAAACATGTTCGGTCGCTCCTTCAGACAGATACAGCTCATCTTTGAGCAGCTCAGCGGCTCGTTCAGACGGCGATTAACACGGCGTGATGGGAAACTGCAACGGCTGCGCTGTCTGCCCTACTTCTACATCATCGGCCAGCCCAAGTGTGGCACGACGGACCTGTACGAGCGCCTGAGGCTTCATCCGGACGTCCGGCTCACGCCGCCCAAAGAGCCGCACTGGTGGACCAGGAAGAGGTTCGGTAGGTTTGTGTGCGTGAGTGTTTCTGTGTGTCTCTCAGAGAAGCTGCTTTCATCTCACTCTCACTACCAACTAAACAAACAAACCAGAACTGGATTAAAAACAGTGAAAACAAACAGCTCTGGTTTGTTTGTTCCTGCCAGAAGCGTCTGCAGATCCTCACGGAGTCTGATGGGAACTGAAACACAGATAAACTCGCTCATCAGAGCACAGTGTGATCCTCTGAGAATATGAGCGATTCATCAGGACACTCCTATAATGCACTCATCTGCCAGATTTATAATAATGAACAGAGATACCAATAAAACATCACTGGATTTGATTCATACCAGGTCTAGAAAATATACTACAAAGCTCAAGTTAGCACAGATCAAATCTAACATTCACACACATTTATATATCTCTATATACTGGCACTGTATAAACAAGATGAATTGTGGGTAAAGTATATATGTGACCCTGGAGCACAAAACCAGTCTTAAGTGTCACTTTTTCAAAATCTGAAAGCTGAATAAAGAATCTTTCCATTGATGTATGGTTTGTTAGGATAGAACAATATTTGAAAATCTGGAATCTGAGGGTGCAAAAAAATCTAAATATTGAGAAAATCATCTTTAAAGTTGTCCAAATGAAGTTCTTAGCAATGCATATTACTAATCAAAAATTCAGTTTTGATATATTTACGGTAGGACATTTACAAAATATCTTCATGGAACATGATCTTTACTTAAGATCCTAATGATTTTTGGAATAAAAAAGAAATGTATAATTGTGACCCATACAATGTATTGTTGGCTATTGCTACAAATATACCCCAGCGACTTAACACTGCTTTTGTGCTGCAGGCTCACATATAATTGTCCAGTGCTCAGCATTCTTTGTGTTGGTGTCTGTTTGAGTGTTTTTTGTATTTCGTCCTGTTGATGCTCATAAATATGCTGGATGAACGGCACAGTCACGTGACCGAACCTCTGTGCTGCGTGTGTTTATGTGCAGGAATCGTTCGCTCTGGTGAACGTCCTAACACGCGTTTCCCGCTGGACCATTATCTGGACCTGTTTGATCCGGTGGCCCTTCAGATACAGCAAAGCCTTCTGGGAAACTCCAGCAGCAACATCATCACCAGTACTGTCCTCACGTCTGCGTTGGGTTTACAAAATAACACACTTTACAGTAATTAGATACCCTTCCCTATATATTGATTGACAGGTGAGGCCAGCGCTTCCACTATGTGGGACAACAACGCCTGGCTGTATCTCCATGGCAACAGCACAGGGGCGGAGCCTCCGTCACTCGTCCAGGACTTCATTCACGCGCTGCAGCCGGACGCACGATTCATCGCCATCCTCAGAGACCCTGTGGAGAGGTCAGAGGTCACCGGCGTTCTTATCCCTAACTAAAACCATAGAAAAAATCATTACGTAAAATATAAAAACCGCAATCTTTATTTCAGTTAGTTGCCAAGGCAACGTTTCTCATTTTTAAGTACTAAAATAACTAAACTAAATCATATGTAGACATGTAAAAAAAAAAAAAAACTAATGAAACATTAAAAAAATGTGTTATGAAGCTATGAGATCCGTGTCGTGTGATGGCTCACTCGTGTGTGTGTGTGTGTGTGTGTGTGAGAGAGTGTGTGAGAGAGTTTTTCCTCAGGCTGTATTCAGATTATTTGTACTTCGGCACGTCTAATAAATCAGCGCTGGATTTCCATCAGAAGGTGTGTGAGTCTCTGCGGATGTTCGAGGGCTGTCTGCGGGACGCCGGGCTGAGAGCGTGTGTGTACAACAGCACACTGAACAACGCCATGAGCGTGAGTGACCTCTGTGATCAACAGGCCCTCTGATCTCTTCATTTACATATTCAAATGAGCTCAGTGTCCCATTTATTTCTATAGCGCTTTATACGAAACAGATTGATTCAAAGCAGCTTCACCGTGATAAACAAGTAAATAACAGAATCGATGATGCAAACTTCTTCAAATATGACACAATTTCTAATTCTGCTGCTCTACAGAAGTCAGTCAAGACAAGTTTTGTTCTCATCTGATAGTGTCAGTGCAGTTAAATCAATCATATTACTGAATATTGAGTGTCTTTTAAATGCAACGGGTGCCCCTATGCGCCTTCACTTGCTTTCTAATGCTGTGGTATCATGTTCAGTAGCTCCACCCACAATCAGTAGCTCCACCCACAGTCAAATCTCATTGGTTCAGAATCCCTGCCTTTAAGTGCAGATGGAAGCTCCTTCCTCTGAGCCGGACATTCTTTGTTAAGAGAAATCATACATTCAAGTTGGAAACACAACAAAGCAAAATAATTATATTGTGAACAATAAGCACAAATAATTAGACTTTCTGACTTGAAGAACACGAGACGTCAGCTCTGTTCTGATTGGTTGATTGTGTCACATTTTCACTCAGTGTGAGGAGACTGAATACGTGTGTGTGTGTGTGTGTGTGTGTGTGTGTGTGTGTGTGTGTGTGCGGGTGCGTCTGCGGGGGGGCCTGGG